TCGGCCTTCACGGTCGGCTCTGCCCCGCCCTCGCCCCGCCCCTTTCTTGCGCCTAAATGTGTTGTCCGCCCCGCCCCTCGCCCCGCCCCCAGCTGTTCTTCGGGAGGCCAGAGAGCGGGATGGGGGATGAGGAAGTAGGGATCCGGCCCCGGGGCCCTGGCGAGAGGAACCCGGGGACGAGACCCCAACAGCTCCATCGCACCCCGAGGCTGTGAACGGGTGCAGGTCCAGGACACGGAAAGGGAGTTTCATCCAGTCACCCGATCACCGTGAGTTCGAGGCCAACCCCGGGCTACATAACGACCTCGTCTCCAAAAAAGAAAATAAAAGAGAGAGAAGGCCTGGTAGCAAAGAAATGATAAGGCGCTCCCCCCTCCTTAAATAACTCAACAGTCAATCGGGAAACTGAGGCAGGGCTTGCGGAAGCGGAAGTGGGGGCAGGCGGGCCAGGCCTGGTCGGCAGAGGTGGGGCAAGGGGGAGGGGGTAGGGAGTGAGAGGAAAATTCAGGGCGCCGGCTCCGGGGGTGTCACCTCCCACGCGTCCCTTCCCCGGCGCCCCGCAGCCGGCAGGCCCCTCCCACACACACCTGGACGCTCTCCTGCTGTGGTTGCAATGGCCCAAGATTCCCTTCCCGAGAGAATCAAAGCATGCAGGCAGCCTCCACGCGGAGCATTTGCGCGTGAAGGGTGTCCTTGTCCTGCCTGCCTTCTTTGGGGGCCTCTGGAGAATTTCTCCACCTCCACTCCCACCTCAGAAGTGTCCCCCGTCGCCCCTGCCTCCCCACAGCCCCTCAGCGGCTTGGGGCAGGGGAGGAAGTCAGTAGCATGTGGAGCACCAAGGAAGCTGGCGTTATTCTAACCGCAGTAGAGCGAGCAGACTAGTAATCGATATGTTGGGGCAAAGAGAAAGAGTCTGGTGTTGCGGAATCACCGTGAGGGTTTTCCCCAACATCTCCACCCCGCCGGCAATCCTCTGAGTCAGAAGCGAACAGTGCACCTGGTGCTGGGTGCCTGGAGCGCATTACCACAGAGTGGTAGAGCACGGTGGCCACAGGACGTGCCCCAAGACAGAATGGAGTTTGGGAAGGCGTCTCCTCCATTCCTCCACATCCTTGCCCCAAACAAGACCCGATCTTTTGCCAGATCTTCAGGCCCAGCCTGCGGTAGGTGTAGGGTAGGGTGTAGGTTCGTGAAATTCCAAAGCTCTGATGCCCCTGTGTTTTAGGACCATGAACAGTGTCCACCTTAGACTCCAGTCACCCAGATGTCACTGTCATGGCCAGGCTATGATCTGTGTTGTATGGTTGGGCTTTGGTCACTATCCCCTCAAGTCCATGCCTCACCTGTCCTCACTTCTGTATCAGGAGAGAGAACCTCTGTAAACTACATTTCCCAGGCGCCCTTGACTACCGCAAACTACATTTCCCAGAGGCCTTTGCATCTGTGAGGCTCGGCCAATGGGAGGTCAGGAAGGAGATCGGAGGGCGGGAAGAAGGGTAAAGCCAAAGGGTTTCTCCCTCTCTCTCCACTTGGGGGACCCAGCAGTAGCTGTTGAGTCCCCTTATTGCCTCAGGCCATCCAGGTTGTTCCCCCACAGTGATTGCACTCCGGCCAGGTGGCTGGTAGTCACCTCCTCCTTTTATCAAATGGGCCCCTGGGAAGATGGCGGCTTGCTACTCCAGAGCTGATTCACCTTCTCCCGACTGCTCTTGAAACCCAGTACTCACAAGAGTCATTAATTCCCCGGGTGAAATTCTCTCTGTTGAACCACCTGGCACGGACTGTGCTCTTCAGGCTGAAGCCAAGACAGTATATTCACTGCCATTTTGGGGACCAGCGCTGTGGTCAGTGTGATGACCAGGATTGTGGTCTGTCTTCTGTGTTCAGTGTCGTAATCCCGGGCTCATTGTCCTGGGCTTGCTTTGGACGGTGGACTGTCATCGGCGCTATGGCCACAGCTGTGATCAGGTCATATTGTGGTCGAGGCCCCACTCAGCGCTGTGGTCAGTGTTCTGGTGAGTGTGGCGTCTGTGACCGAGGAGTCAGAATTGTGGCCCATCATTGAGGAGGGGTCAGAATAGGATTCTGTAGGATCTCGCAGGACAGAAACTGATGAGCTAGGTGGCTGAATCTGGTGCTGGGCACAGGTCCCTCATGTCTTTGGCCTTGCTAAACCATCTAAATCCCTGTCTATCGTTCAGGCTCCTTTGATAACAGCTGCAGAAAGCTTTGTACAACGCGCTGTTGAAGTGGATTTAGAAAAAAAGAATATATATATATTGACTTACAGAACTGAAAAAAATAATCCATGGGCAATGGAATTCAGGCATGGCTGGATCCAGGGGTCCTGTTATATTCTCTCTTTATATCTTTATACCTCTGTTCTCTGGGAGAGATTGCTTTTAGTCAAAAGGTGACAAGTTTAGTTCTCTGAAGCCAGCCATGGTGGCACACACCTGTAATCCCAGCAATTGGGAGGCTGAGGCAGGAGGATCTCTGTGAGTTCAAGGCCAGCCTGGGCTACATCATGAGACCCTATCTCAAAAAAAATTTAAAAAGTTTAGTTCTCAGAAACTTCTGTCTTCCAAGCTCAGCAACATCAGCAAAAAGAAGTTTGCAAAATCATAACTCAGTGAGCCATTCCAAGTCATAGGCCCATCCTGAACAGGTTACAGGTTCTGAAGAATGTGGCCTGGCCACATCTGCATCCTCCTGGATGCAGAGTGGGATTAGCCTGAGTCAGTCTACGCTGGACAGGGTTGGGAGGGGTGCATGAGAGAATGTGGAACTTTGACCACTGCAACAGGCAAAACCAAAAGCCCCACCCCAACCTTTAGTGCACATTTCTATATGGCAGGGCCTTCCAAGCTAAAAACTGTTTCCAGACTCCCTTGCAGCTAGACTTCTGTATGCAGGGGAGGCTCTAACAGTTATAAGCAGGAACAGTGGGTGGTGGAAATCATCTTCCTACTGTGTTAGCGGGGGCAGCCGCCAGTCACAGTGGGGGACAGAGATTTCTTTGCAGGCTTGTTCTTGTTTTAGTCACCAGTATTACCACCAACTTTTATTGAGAGGCAGTCACAATAATAATGATGGTGGATTCCAAACTGCAACTGTAGTGGCACTGTTGCTGCCTTCTGACCTCTCCTTCTTATACCAGGGATTGAACTCAGAACCTTGTGCTTGTGAAGCACCACTGAGCTAAATCCCCAGCCCTTCTTCTCCTCCTCCTCCTCCTCCTCCTCCTCCTCCTCTTCCTCCTTCTCTCCTTTTTTTGCAGTACTGGGGATTGAACCCAAGACCTCACACTAGGCAAGCACTCTACCACTGAGCTATTACACTCCAATCTTTTTTACTTTTTCTTTTGAGACAGGGTTTCACTAAGTCTCAAACTTGCTACCCTCCTGCCTCAGCCTCCCAAGTAGCTGGGATTCTAGGGCTGCACTGTATGCCTGGATTACCTTTTGGTTTTTTGGTTTTGGTACTGGGAATTGAACTCAGGACCTTGTGCCTGCCAGGCGGGTGTGCCACCACTGAGCTAAATCCCCAGCCTGTGACTTACTATTTTTACATCTGCACTTGAGTGGGCTTCGTTACCTTCACTCTGTTGTGCGGCCATGCCAGCATTTCCAGAACCTTTTCATTATCCAAACAGAATTTCTCTAAACTTTGAGCAATAACTCCCCGTTCTCCCCTCCTGCCAGGCCCTGGTAACCTCTAATCCATTTTCTGTCTCTGTGAATCATGCAGTACTTGTCTTTTTTGTGTGTCTAGCTTCTTTCACTTAGCATAATGTTCCCAAGGTTCACCCGCATCCACACTGAGGTATGAATCAGATGTTTGCTCTTACGGCTGAACAATATTCTGTGGCTGAATAGGCACACATTGTGCCTCCCTTACAGTGATTTATTCTGGTGGTGGTGGTGGTGTTTGAGTCAGGGTCTCTGAACCGTGTAGTTCAGGCTTGAATTCACTGTGTGGTCCGGGTTGGCCTTGAACTCGCAATGATCCTCCTGCCTCAGCCTCCCAAGTGCTGGGATTACAGGTGTGTGGCATCTGCCAGGCTGGTGATGTGTTATTCTTTCATTGTTTGGGGGGGCAGCGCTGTGGGTGGAATCCGGGACCTCAGATATGCTAGGCAAGCACTCATCACTGAGGTCTGTCCCCAGCCCCCTCGGTTATGTATTCTTGATGTGCACTGTTCGCGGTGGGGGATCCCCCACATTCCTGAGCATAACAGAGCCATTTGCTCCTAGAGCCTCCAGTAGAGGTGCTGTTCCGTAGCAATTCATCCTGAAGCTCTCAATTAGATCTCCATCCTTCAGTCTTCCACCGATTTGTAAGTACCAAGTTCTCCAGTGACTTTGTCTGTTTTCTATTACTATAACAAAATACCCAGTGCTGAGTGCTTTATAAAGAAAAGAGGTTTACTTGGTTCATAGTTCTGGGTGGTGAAGAAAGGGGGACAGGGAGGGGGAAGGGGACGAAGAAAGGGCTACGATATGGTACGTCCGTGCACCCACTCCCCTACGCGGGATGCGGCCACGAGTACTGCAAATACAAACTAACAACTGAAAACAGAAGCAGAGGGCTCGCATCTGCTCCACTCTGGTAGGGACCTCTGGCCAGTGGCATCACCCTGACAGGAGCCTTGGGGGGACAGCTCATGTGCGGCGACCAAAAGCCGGAGAGATTTGTATAACGTGCTCTTGTGGGAACTAACGAGGGCCCCGGGGAGTTACCTGAACCCCGTCCAGAGGGGGCGGTCTCGTGTTTGTCTTCTCAGTTTTTATTTGTCTGTTAGCTCAAGTTTGGAGTAGACAGGGATCACACTCCTCCTGGGTTATTTCACCTGTCATTTATTCCACTATTATGGCCTCAAGGCTCATCCATTTTCCTATATGACTGACGCCCACCCTTCTTGATGGCAGCGTAGTACTCCGCAGTGTGTAAATATGACATTTTCTTCATCCATTTACCGGCGGATGGACACACAGGCTCCACCTCTTAAAGGTTATATTTACCACTTCAGAACTCTTTCTTCTTCTCCTCCTTCTTTCTGGTCTCTCCTTCCTTTGTCTTCTTTTCTTCTCTCTCTCTCCCTCCCCCCTCCTTCCTTCCTTCTTTTCCTTCTTTCTTCTGTGCCGAGGTTCAAACCCCCAGCCTCCCGCAGGCTAGGCAAGCGCTGGCCGCGGAGCACATCCCCGGCCCCTGGGAATTGTCTTTACTAATCACCGTCCCCACCCACGGAGTCAGCTGAACCCTCATTCCCGCCTGGGCCGAGTATTCTCAGGCTTTGCTTACTTGACTCATTGCGAAAACTCCGGAGGTAGGAATTATTCTCCCTAATTTGAGAATATAAAGTTTCACAGCACTCTAGGAGGCGGAGGTGGGAGAATTACAAGTTCCAGCCCAGCCTGGGCAACTTTAGCAACTGAGCAAGACCCTGTGGCGAACTAAAACGCGGGCTGGGGCCAGAGCTCGGTGCGAAGGCCCTGGGTTCAATCCCCCGTGCTGTGGGTGCGCGTGTGAAAAGTCTGGATCCCACAGAGGCTGTGTAACTTGCCCAGGGTCACCTACTTATAAAGGGCAGACATAGGATCCAAAATCACGTCTGTCTGACTCAAATCCCACCTATGGGCCTAGGTGGCATTATATTGAGGATTTTTGCTTGGTTTTCTTGATTTCCGGGTTTTGGTTTTTTTGACACAGGGTCTCATTATGTATCTCAAGACCGGCTTCAAACACACAGATCCTCCTGCCTCAGCCTCCCGAGTGCTGGGATCGCAGGAGTGCGTCACCACGCCCGGCTTCACACAGGATTCCAGACACCATGGAGACACACAGTGTGTACAAAAGACACCCACAGACCCACACTTCAGGGTAAGATCACACTCCTGGCCCCGTGGCCCAGGCCGAGGTTCCCACACAGACAGACCCGCAGGGACGCCCACGCCATCTGTGCCACGCAGTCCGGGTGGGGCGGTGTGCCGCAGTGACTCAGGGGCCCCTGGGGAGAGGAAGGGGGCGGGCGGCGGCGGGCTGCCAGCGCATGTGGCTCCCATTACGGGCCTGGGAATTGTGGTCTGAGCTGGCGGGACAAGGAGACCCCAGAACGCTTCCCAGCTCTGTCGGCTCAGGAAGAGCGAGCCTTGGTTGAGGTTACTGGGCCGGAACTTGGCTCAAACCAGCAGCTTCCGGTCTCCCCAGAGCCAGGCCAGGCCGGTACTGAGTCCAAATCCTGCAGTGCCTCTGGGAAGGGATCGTAAAGGAGCGAGCGAGGCCGAGTGAACATGCAGGGTTGGATCTCCGCTGTAGCCCTAGCTCCAGCCCCAGAGTAGATGCAAGGACTCTTGCGTCTATTTGACCTGCGAGTGGAGAATTTATGAATTTGTGGCTTGGGGCAAGGTGGCAATCATCTTTAAGTAGAGTTAAGAGGAAGGGGTGGCCAAATATGTCTGGGGGCTCTGATGCCAAGCAGTGACATTGCAGCCATCACCTGAAGGGTGAGAAGCAAGCAGAGCTCATTGGGCAGCGAGCAGAGCAGGTGCAAAGGCCCCGAGGCCACCAGGTGCAGAGGGCTGAGGCGCCGGTGAGGGGTGGTGACAGGGACACTGCAGCTGTCAGACTTGGACTCTACTTTGGGCCTAGCAGGGAGCCTTGGGAGAGTTTGGAGAAGAAACGGTGAGGCTTGATGACCAGCATGAAGTCCACCTGGAGGATAGCTGAAGCTGTATCTCTGTGGGACCCAAGGGCCCCATTCTTGGGAATCTACACACCCCAGAGATGCACAAGGAACACACTGAGGATGTCTAGACAGACAAGGTGGGAAATACTTCCAGGCTCACGAGGGGACCGGAGGACAGCAAAGAGGAGCCGTCACACACTTTGATTAAAAGCACACGGTTAGAAATATTTGCACCTAGCACGTATGGTAGCACACGCCTGAAACCCCAGCACTCTGGGAGGCTGAGGCAGGAGGATTTCAAGTTCGAGTCCATCCTGGGAAACTTAACAAGATGCTGCTTTAAAGTGAAAAATGGAAGGGGCGGCGGATGTAGTTCGATCTGAATGCTCCGGGTTTGATCCCCAGTACTGCAAAAAGGAGAAGGGGGACTGGGCGGATAGGGGAAGGAGGAGGAGGAGAGGAAGAGGAAAAAGAAGAAGAAAAAAGGAAAGAGAAAGAGAAAAAGACAGAGAAGATGCAGAAACCCACTGAGCCTGCAAAACAAGCTTCAAAGACCGTGTTGAACGCTGTACCGGTCTGAAGTGGTTCTAAAACCCACAGGATCACGCGACATGGATACGGCCCCCACAGTAAACAAGGAGAAACATTCCAGGGGCAACGGTTTCCAGACCCGGGGAGGCAGGGAATGCAGGCAATCCGTGCTGGATAAGGAAGAGAATTTCAGCGGGGCAGATGAAAACGTTTCCAGGATGGATGGTAATGATGGGATTCTTTTCGTGCCAGGGAAGTGAGATTCCAAAACGGTTATAACAGGCGTTGGGGTGGAGTTCGGGGTTAGAGCACTTGCCTAGCATGTGTGAGACCCCTACGATCCAACCCAGCACTGGGAAAAAAGAAAGTCACCAGGATAAATATTGTGTATTTTTAAACTTTAATTTAAAATAAAAGTTGGAGAAAAAGAAATAAAGGTTGGGTGAGTGTCTCAGGCCTGTTCCTCCAGCTTTTCTGGAGACTGAGGCAGGAAGATTGTGGGTTTTGGATCACTAGATTTGATTGATTGATGGATTGATGGTTCAGGGGATCAAACTCAGGACCTTGCACTTTCCAGGCAGGCAGTGGCACCTCTGAGCTAAATCCCCAGCCCAGATTTTATGTTTCTTCAAGGTAAGAAAAGACGTATGGCCTGTGGGGTGAGAGCAGGCCACCAAAGAAAGAACACAGTGGGGCTGGGGATTTAGCTCAGTGGTTTCCACCGCCCGCCTCGCAAGCACAAGGTTCTGAGTTCAATCACCGGTACCAAAAAAGAAAGAAGGCAAGGAAAGGGGGTTGGGGAGACAAAGAGCATTGTGTGGGGAGGTTAGTGGTGCCATCTTTTATATGAGCTCCATTAACCTTGCCCCCTCCAATCCAAGAAGAGATCTGGGCCAACCTATCAAAATCCTGCTTGACTGCTTCTTGGCCTTTTGGCTAAAATCAAGTGTAAAAACTTACTTGAATTCTTGCTGGGAAAGGTGGCAGACGCCTGTAATCCCAGCACTCAGGAGGCTGAGGCAGGAGGATCTCTGTGAGTTCGAGACCTGCCTGGGCTACACAGTGAGTTCCAGGTCACAACTACATAGTGAGACCTGTCTCAAAAAAAATAAAAAAAAAAAACTTCCTTGAATTCTTTCTGGAAGAATTGAAAATAGTCTTCTCTGACTGGTCCAAAACGTGGGATTTGAGCCCGTCCTGGATCTCATAATTGATAGGTCACAACCACTTACTCAACCAGCTGGCCACACCCTAATCTCTTGCCTCAATCCTGTCCTGAAATAAAATTTAAAAAGGTCTGGGGGTGTAGTTCCGGGTTCGTTGGGTTCAATCAACTTGCAGTACTGCAAATAAGAAATAAACAGATGAATAAATAAAACGAGAGATATATCAAGACGGAGGTGGGACTATGTACGAAAGGGGTGAGACCAGATCAAGGAAGAAAGAACATTCTCTTGGTGTCCATCTGGTGGTCTTGTTGTTTTTTTAAGACCGGGTCTTGCTATGTAGTCCGGGCTGACCTTGAACTCACTTTGTAGCCCATGCTGGCCTCAAACTCACAGCGATCCTCCTGCCTCAGCCTGCTGAATGCTGGGATGACAGGCGGGCACCAGATTGCAAGGTTCATCAAGTTATCTTTCTTCTCAGCTCCCCCTGCCTCCCCGGTCCCCGTATTGTCACCTGTAGGGCTAGTGTCTGGGGCACTCGACTCAGGGCTACAAGTCTGCCCCTGTGGCCGAGGGAGTTTTGCCTTGGGTAGGCTCGGGTCATCACGGCGCATGCGCGACTGTGAATCTGATTTTTTTTTTTTTTCTTTTTTGGTAGTTTGGGGGCAGAGCGGGGTCAAGCGGCTCTCATTCTCTCTCTGTGTTCGTCTCTGCCTCCTCCTCAAGCTACCCCTGATCGCACTGCTTCACAGAAGGCCCCTTCCGGTCCCTCAGCACTGCACAGTTTTGTTCCCAGGACCACCTGCTGTGTTACATCTGAGCAGCCGCCCCCGGGGTACCCTCAGGCGACTGATTCCGAGATCCCCTCGGATCCCAAAATCGCTGATGCGAAACGTCACGGTATCAAACGGTGCCGCGTTTGTGTAGCGCCTACAGAAGTCCTCCCCTAGACAGTAAATCGTCTCTAGATCACTCGGAGTACTGGAGGCGACGTAAATGCTATGGGAACAGTTGTTTCATGGCACCGCTTAGAGAATTATGACAAGAAACAAAATCCGCGCACTTTCAGTACACAAGCAAATTTTTTCCCAGTTTGTTTGTTTTTGGAGACAGTGTCACTGTGTAGTTCAGGCTGACTTTGAACTCGCTATGGAGCCCAGGCTGGCTTCAAACTCTTGAGATCCTCCTGCCTCAGCCTTGAATGCATGAGAGGCTCGCACCATTACACCTGTAGCCTATTGAATTCTGAAGCCTCCGTTAGTGCATTTGCTTCCTGCCTGTCAACCACCCCGAAGTGTTAACAGCATCCCTATGAGGCCATTATACCGGTCGCTGTGTTAGGCCGGAGGCTGGCGCCGTGCCAGGCACACGAGGCATGCTCAGTAAATATTTGCCTCCCTTTCCAGATGTGGCTCTTTCTCGTTGAGAGTAGGTTTGTGCGGACAACGTGCAAGTGTGAAGGAGCCTGACTGTGTGTCCAAACACCCCCCGGACGTGTGTGTGTGTGTGTGTGTGTGTGTGTGTGTGTGTGCGTGCGAGTGCCTTGCTCTCGGTGCCCGGGTGTCTGGAATCTGGCTGAGACTGGAAGGTTGTATAATGTGCGTCTTGGATTCGACCTGCAGCTGTGAGAGAGATAAGGATCCACCGGGAGTGGTGGCGCATGCTTGTCATCCCACCACTGGGGAGGCTGAGGCAGGACGATCGCTGTGAGTTTGAGGCCAGCCTGGGCTACGTAGTGAGACCCTGTCTCCAAACAAACAAAAAGATAAATACAGATTCTGTGGGCCCTTGGTCCGCGTGCGTGCCTGGCTGCGAGTGTCTCTGGTGGCAGCGTGTGTAGTAGAATCCGCTACTGGTTCTGCCCCCTGCAACCGTCTCTGGCTGAAGCCACCAGCGACCCCCACGCGGGAGGCCCGGGAGGCCCGCCCCGCCCCGCCCCCAGCTGGGAACCGCGCACGGAGGCGCTGGCTCAGGAAGCAACGCCGGCTGATTAATTACGGCTGCTGAATATGCAAATCAACTGGGGTTTCCCAGCAGCTGCCGGGGCCAGCGAGGATTACTGAGAAGAAGAAATACGGGGAGCGGAGCGGGGCCAGAATTCCCTTCTTACACCTTTGTCAATTAACCTTCAATTTACGGGGCCGAGCCTGTACTTCATGAACGAGTTTTGGGCTAATTAAAGCACCCTCACTAAACTATACGTTAATTGTCCCTTCCCCCTCCCCACAAAGGCTTGCCCCGGGATGGGTTAGAATTTGGGGCAAAGACAGGCAAATCTGTGGGTTAAACCTGGGCCGGGTTGGGGGCGCTCACCCACGCGCCCCGCTGTTCAGTTTATCTCCAGCCTCACCTGTGAAATGGGCCTGGGAGGTGTCTCCTGTGGGCTGCGGTCATCAGGAAAGAGACTTGTGTGAAGAGCTGAGCTCCGGGGTGAATTTTGTTTATTCCAGTACGAGAAATGGAGCCTTATTTTTTTGAGACAGGGTTTTGTTAAATCGCTAAATTGCCCAGGCTGGTCTCAAACTTGTAATCCTTTTTCCTCACCTTCCCAGAGAGCTGGGATTACAGTCTTGCGTCGCCACACCCAGATAGTTTCTAGTTTTATCATTATAATAATAATTATTATTATTCATTAAGTTTGTTTTTTGTTGTTGTTTTTTGAGACAGGGTCTCACTATGTAGTTGAGACTGACCTGGAACTCACTGTGTAGCCCAGGCTGGTCTCGAACTCAGCGATCCTCCTGCCTCAGCCCGGGGTTACAGGTGTGGGCCACCACTCCCGGCCCTCTATTAGTTTATTGATACATTTTAGTTTTAGACTCTGGCCAGATTATTTGATTTCTCTGTTCCTCAGTTTCCATATCTGTAAGACAGGACTAACAGACGCTTCCTCACATGTTTGAGGAATAAATCGATCCAGATAATAATTAGGTGGACAGCATCTAGCGTATAGACAATGGTGACTTCAATCCTAGTTTTTCCTTTTGGGGTTTTTTTTGGAGGGGGTACCAGGGATTGGATTTGGGACCTTGAGCTTGCAAGGCAGGCTGCAGAACCACTGAGCTAAATTCCCGGCCCTTCAGTCCTTGTTAATAGCATTAGTTGGATAAATCACAGGTCATGCATTCCCAGAGGCATGGCGTCTAAGGAGAAGGCCAAAAAAAGTGTTGAGTGAAGTGGTTCATTGAAAGAAAGCAAGCTGGGTGTGGTGGTGCACGCTTATAATCCCAGATACTCAGGAGGCTGAGGCAGGAGGATCACAAGTTGGAGGCCAGACGGGGCAATTTCACAAGAGCTGTCTCAGAATCAAGTTTTCTTTAGAAAGAGGTGGCGGCGGTGCAGCTCAATTCTAGAGCGCTTGCCTAGCGGGCGGGAGGCCTGGTATCAATCCTCAGTGTCACAAAAGAAAAAGAAAAAAGAAAGTGAGACTTTTAGTGTAGACAGCCTGAAAAGGGAGGGGTCGGCAAGGACAGATGTCGGGGAAGGGAAGGAGGGGGGAGGCGACGGACTAGTGAGAGACCTAGACTTCGGGACAGAACATTTCCGGTAATGCATTTACAGTGCTGGGGACTTTTGAGGGCAAAGATAGTCACATTAATTTTTTTTTAATCAGGGATCAAACTCAGGACCTTGCACTCACAAGGTAGGCGCGGTGCCGCTGAGCTGCATCCCCGGCCCCCATAGGCTTTCCTGAGGTAAGGGTGTTGG